TGTTGGTGGCTCCAACTGAATATGAACTGGAACAAGTTGATTAGGAACCACCCTTGAATGTTTCGGTGGAGAAGACGGGCACATGAAGTAGTTCATGTTGAACATGGCTTTGGGATTGGGACTACTACTACGTCTGCTTGCCCCAAAAGTCTTCTTCTCACCATCTTCATGGTAATCAATGAACCCATCATGGGGTAGTAGCTCCCACTCTTCAAGATCCATCTCATAGATGGAAAGTTGTTCTCTTCGAAGTAGAAATGGATCAAAAAGAAGGGCTTGAGTGCTATAATATATAAGGGCAATTAAGTATGCTCTTATGGTGGAAAATTTGGGGGCCCGAATTATTTGATCAAGCTAGGACGGTAGGCAGTCATGGAGTGATGCGTGGAATCTTCATGATGTGTCATCCCACCGCTCCATGGTCTCCTCCTCTTGCTTTAATTTTTTGTTTTTTTAAAGTCTGAGATTGCTCTATGAAGGCTAATCCTTCCGACTAATTGTATGGTCCACTAGGGCCCACGTAGGAGAATAGAATGCCTTGCCTGATATGCTTCCTGGATATTTCTTTTCAATCTTATATTGGTTTGTTAAATAATCTAATCTACCAAGTTTGATTACTATATTGTCACTATGGATAAAATTTGGGCAACTGTAAGAGTTAAGATATGGTCACACAGACGTTTCTCTTGGGGCCTATGAACACTTCTAGAGAGAGAGAGAGAGAGAGAGAGAGAGAGAGATGGAGAAAGATGGGATGGTTTTTGTTGGAGATTCCTTCAATGGTCTCACTCTCATGGCCATGGCAGGGAAAGAAGGCAAAAAAGAAAGAAGAGTGCCGTCGGTTGCTTGCAGAAGTTTGCTTGGAGTGAAAGTGATAGGGTAGGTTTCTGAAGAGAAAAGGGCAAAGCTGAAAGTGAAAGCTTCCATACAACTGTCCATAGGCTGGTGGTATCTTTAATTAAATCTTTATTGGCCTTTTGTGTCAAAGTTATAAAAATGAAAGTTTTGCAATTTTAATAGTTTGTAGAGTGGACAAATCTGCCTAAATTTCACATGATTATATGCTTACATATGTGTTTATCCTGGGGTGGGGTAGTTTTTGCCGTGATTCTTGAAAAAATATATTAAAAAAAAGTTATAAATTATAGCTTTTTTTAGAGTTTTCAATATTATCTATTAGAACTATGGTTTCTGTAGATTGATACAAAACTTTCAAAATTATTATGGGGACAAAATGGAATTTCAATCCTACTTTATCGTACTAACAAATGGATTTATAATCAAATTAGCAAGGTAGTTGATTAAAACAAACATTCAAAATAGTAGTTATGATTTTATTACATAGATAAAAGGTTTGTTAGCAACAATGTTGATAATCAAAATAATTAAATTTTATATCAAATAATTTTATATGATTAGGAAGTTTAGATTAAGAGTTCTTTTGACCTTAAAAATACCTAGAAAAATAGATTTAAGTTTAGAAAGATTTTTTATTCCTAGTTGATTTTTGGTTTTAAAGTGGTTTTTTGTATTTTTAAAGGTCATAAATTTATTTATTTTCAATTAAATTATTCTGATCTTATAATTCTGATTATAAGTTTGGTAAGTTACATCAAGTTAAATGTTCTTGTTATTTTTAATTATTGTTTTTTAATATTGAGTTAATAAGGGTTTCAGTTTTATACTTTATTTTGATTTATTTTATATATAGTTATCATGGTTTCATGATCCAAGTCGATAATTTGATAAGTTAATCTAATTAACTTGAATCAATTTAATATATTTTTATTTAAATATTATTTAAAAAAAAAATTATCTTCCGTTTTTATAAATCAAACTATGGTTTTACTAATCATCCAAATTATTTTTGAACTCATCAAGTTGAATAGATATTATACTAGGTTAATTTCTACATGGTTTATCTTTTTACTATAAAAATATTATTAATTCCCAAATATTTTTTTTTAGTATGATTAATAAAAACATGATCCAACTTCCAACATGGTACAAGCCAACTATATAGTATAGTGCTAAATGGTATATAATTTTAGTGTTCTTTATCTTACAAGGATACTTATCAACTGTAGTTTTTTATTTATATTAAATTAATATATTTTTAGTATTTTTAAATTATTTTAATATGCTAATATAAAAATAATTTTTAAAAACTAAAAAATTATAAATATATAATTTAATACAAAAAACTATTTAAAAAATAATTATAAAATGACACTCCCAAACAACTTCTTAAATAAAATATTTGACTCAGCATGGATGTATATGGCTTGCCAGCAAAACCATAAATAATAAAAAGGAGAATTTCATTATATAAATGGTTCTGCACAGTGCCACATACGTTCTTCGAAATGAAAACAATAAAAATCTCGGGAGTAGATGCAAATTAAATGCGAAGTTGATGCCCAAAAAGAGTTTCAATAAAGACGCCGGTAGGACGGGCCCACCTAAGAAAATCACTCCATTGGAAGCGTTCGCAGGCTGCAATTTTACAGAAATAGATGGTAAAATTATAAAATCATAATTAAGATTTTTCTTGCTGTGTATATTTACGGATGTAGGATATTAATTATTATTATTTTATGTTGACAGCGAGGTTGTAAAAAAAACCTTTTGGACATCACTAGAAAAATACAATATAATTTCAAAATTATATATTGTAAAATTATAATTAATTTTTTTAATTAATTATATATTGATGGATCCTCTATATTACATATTGCAGAGATGAGTAAAAAAACTAAAAAACCGATTAAACCGAGAAAATAAAAAAAAATAAACTAAAAAACCGACTCGTGAAAAAATGATTAAACAGATTAAATTTTTTAAAAAATGACTGGTTCAGTTTGATTTTGGTTTTATAAGCCTGACACCTAAAAAACCAGACCGAACCCAACCCAAAGTGAAAAAAACCAGAAAAAACCGAGCTAAACTAAAAAAATCAAGCCAAATCGGTTTGAACCGAACCGAATTGAAACTAGTCGGTTTGAACATAAATTGAATTTTAACTTTTATTTTCTTAATTTTTTGAAAAAATCCAAAACCATTTTTAATTTGTTATAGCCAAGTTTCTCCAAAATAAATTATATTTGCATATTTTAATATATTAAAAAATAAAAAAATAGTCTTTTTTTATATGCATTCTTAAATTTAATACTTAGTTTATTAAAGCCATGCAAACTTGGTATATATTTTAAACATACCAAAAAAATTATTTTATTTCTTTAAATATAAAAAATTATAAACTTATACGTAACATGCATTTCCAGTATCACAAATGTAAAAAGTATGTTTTGACTTTAAACCCTCTTAGAAAAGAAATATTATTATATCTTAAATTACTAGCTCTTATATATATATATATATTAGGTGTTTTACATATAATATTTTTCTCACCTTTTCATCACATAAAATGAAAGGTATAATATTTTATTTATAGAAAAATCTAAAAACTCTATAAATGGTAAAATAACAATTTTTTGCTTAAATAATATCGCATGTATTATTTTAGGCTAATTCTATAAATTTATTCAACATGTATTTTAGGCTAATTCTATAAATTTATTCAATCAAGTCCTTTTTAAATTGTTTTAGGTCTAAAATTATAATCTCCTAAATTAATTACATTCTAGTCCTCAATTTCTAACATTTATTTATAGTTAAGTCACATATGATTAATCATACCATTTTAATTTTTGACAAATAGTTCTTATGTGGGTTATTCATTGGGTTCCTTAATAAGTTGACCTTAATATAAATCATAATTCTAAATAAAATAGGATTAAATAAGTTAACCAAATTAATTTATTATCAATTCAATAATTAATTGATTTATATTTGAATATTAAATATAATATCTAGCAACTTGTTATGATTCTCTAAATATTAGAAAAGTCTTAAATAGTTTGACTTAACTTTTCAGTAACTAATTTTTCAATATAATTATTATCCTTTCATTAACAATATTTCAATTTAGACAGCATAGCATAAAATGTGTCTACTCTTTCACATCATATTTATTCTCAACATGATAGTATTTTTTGAATGAGATTTGAAACCCTTTTCAAATATTCTTCCACGTTATATAAGAATTTATAATCAATAACATTTGAGAACAAACAAAATATTTTTCTAATTCATATAGGGTGATAAATCATGTCTTGATTATTTAAATACCTTTGTATAGTAGAGAAGTTTAAGAGTCAACAATGATAATCCTAATTTTACATGATTTTAACTGAATTTGCTAATTTTACACGAATCAAGTTTAATTTTATTTGTTTCGAGTTTTTATACTAGATACATATTAATTTACAAAATCATATAATTTTATGAGTTAGCTCATGATTTTAACAACAATAACTAAAAGACATCAAAATATAGCATAAAAACACTTTTATTTCAAAAAAAATTTTGTTAGAAGTAATGAATATTTCTAAACTAATCAACAAGTTCAGTCGATATTAATTTTTATTTGCAAACGATTTTGAGAGTGAACCCTCATTTTAATTTAATGAATTCAAATATATATATTGAATTAAAGGATGGGTATAATGAGAGGAGAAAAAACAGATTACTCTTCGTTAGCTCGTGATATCGCAATCAAATCATCGAAATAATAATAAGAAAGCATACCAATGAAAACTTTGACATCAAAATCTGCCTCCCTCTCTATTCGAATAATTATCCAACTACAAAGAAGAAAAACACTTCCTTCAAATGTATAGCATAGGCTAAAAAAGTCCAGCCAGCCGCATGACATAAATGATGCCTAAGCAGGGGTCCTTCGCCAGTAAAGGCAAAGCACAATCATTGGGAAAGACGCATCATGAGCGTTAAGACTACATTGCTGAGGTAAAAAAATAACTTCAACGGAACAATGTACTTTAAAGTGTCTTTCTTCCCTATCTTTCGGTCTAATCACAAACCTATATAGTCTTCTTCACATTCATATCTCTTGACTTCAAGTTACCATTAGCGAGGCATAGAGAAAGAGCACACAGTAAACTTGCATTCAACTTGTCAAAATGTTCCTCCAAAGGACAATAATATACAAAGGAAAAAAATTACAGAAGGAAAGCTGTTCTCAAATTTACATGCCTGATCGCTTCCTCCCAATACTAGAACAAGCATTGATGGTTTCAGTTATCATTATCATCATCAACAACGCTAATAGTAGTAAAATTTTAACACGAGTGAGCGAGAGAACACAAGGTCCCAGAACATTAAAACTATTTGTAATACACTAGTTAACAGTAAGCCTTTCCTACCTTGATAAATGTCCCAAGGAAAACCAGGATATGCCTCAGGATTGTGACCTAGCTGATGCAGAAGATTCACCCAAAGAAACAGAAGCCAGTGAAGACGCCCAAACCCGGCAGTTTTTTGCACGTTCATGGAAATTTCTGGTCTTGAAATATCTCAGCTTAGTCCAAATCCTCCTAACATCGACCATGTGAAGGATACGCCCAAACAATTGGCTTGTCTCGCCAAATATTTCCAAGTTGAAATGTGGCACATAACAGACATAGAAAGCCTTGATATGTGATAACACTTTTGGATATACATACAGCAGCAGCACCCTGAAACAGAGAAATAATGTAGCCAGTACCAAGTAGGGTTCACTTTTTATTATATCCTCCAAGGATGGCCTGTTCCATGGCTGCATGATAGATTGTTCATGTCCCTCTGTGCTAGTAGAGTCATCATCATCTTTGGTAAAATGTTGAACAGGTTCAAGTCCTGAATCACAGATGGCTAGGTTAGAAACAGGATTTATAAATTGATGACTCAACTATTGTATGTTGATGGAAATCAGGGCGCTAGTTAACCCTTGGAAAATTTCTAATGTGCTGCAAGGCTGAACATTGACTACAATTTAATAAAGCACTCTGTGCGTGAATTTACAACATCAAGTCCACGAGATCAATGCATATAAAATGGTGGAAGCAAAGAAGCTCAGCAAGAATATACACAAATCTTTGGCATGGAAAAACACATTTACCTGTTGTTTTTTTATAAAACTGAACAAGAGATTGAAGGTTCTTTGGCCCCCTATACTGCAACTTTGATGTCTGGTTGACTATTAATATTGATGGCAGGCTGTGGATTCCATATCTTGAAAAAATACTGTGAAAAAAGACATGGCATTGATATCAATAGACAAAATACATGATAACGTGGCCAAAGATGGTTGGTATTGGATAGAGACCTCCAACAAGAAATCAATAAAAAGTCCAATGGGTATCAAGTGATGACAATAAAAAAGAACCAAGTTTTAACTAGGCTTTGATGAACTAGTCATATGCCACTACAAGCATATCATTCACATCGATGAGAGGTGTCTCACCTTGGGAGAGCTGAAGATTGTTCAAGAGCCAAATGTTTGATTTGAGGGAACATGGAACTAAGCATTTCAAATTTAAGAAGCATACTGCGTGAGAAAGGACACCATGAAGCATAAAACAGTACAGAAGTATAAGCATACGTCTGTTTTGAAGTCAAGGCTCTGTCCAGGAATTTCCCATCCACCTATTGACAAAAGTATGCAGTTCAGCACTACAAACTAATACAAAGCTTGAATTATAGGGATCAATCAAATACAGACCAGACCATATACTGATTATCCTAGTAATTTCTGAGAAACGAAAGCATAAATTATGTGGTGCAAAAGCCAGAAAACTGGACTAGATCATAAAGCATGACGCCAAAAACATTACATGCGAGTCTAGATCATGCCATGACTTTTATTACAAGTTACATGAACAAGATGGCAGAGTAGGGAAAAATTACGAAATGGAATTTATAAACTCTCTTGAATTGCATATACATAAAAAAATGAGCAACAAGATCTTGGGGACAGTCAAAATTTTGTTTTGAAGAAATGTTCAACGAAAATAATCTAAGAGCTAAGCATGCAATTAGCACAATGCCTCAAGTAAACCATTCATCTTCAATAAACAACCAACCAAATTTTAACCTTGTTTTGAATTCCCATGAATTCACACAAAACAAATAATCTTGGATTTATTTTAACCAAATTTAAGGTTTTGGAATTAAACTGCAAATGAATTGCATTGCAACTCAAATAAAGTGAGGTTAAAAAATAAACATAAGTGTCTACTCATGATTTGCCAATGAATGGTGAGTTTTACCTTACTTTTAATTGCCCACAATTTTTTTTTAAAAAAAACAAACACCCATAATTTTAATCAATTCATATTCAATCTATTCATGAATATATTTCATACAAACTGTTAAATAATCATAATAAATAGGTGAACTATATGACCCCTTTGTGTGGTCCTCTCAAAGAGAACTATGCATTCAATCATGTCCACTTATGATTGACAGTATGCTGAGAGACTGTGACTGTCCTGATCCATAACCAATGTGAACTCCACTGAGAACCTAAGAGCTATGACAATCTTATGACTCATCAATTGGCTTAAGCACCACAGAGATACAACTAATTTTAATGTCTCCCATAGCAGAGCTCTGTGCTGCAAATGAACTTAAACTTCAGAAGTGTCCTAAGAATTTATGACTTTGATTTACTTCCATTAATTTAGTCCAAAAGATAAGGAATCACAATTTCCTTTTCATTCCTCAAATATCAATTTACACTTGATGTGTCATAAGAACATATGACCCCGTTTTGCTCTTCCCTTTTTTTGTGTCAGTCAGTCATCCTCTTGCCATGCCTTAACTCATTCTCTATTTTATCCCTTTTTTTCCTCAGTCACTCATCCTCTTGCCATGCCTTAATTTGTTCTCTATTTTATCCCTCAGGGCCTCAAATACACCACATAACTCTCTTCCTTTTCTTTTCTCTCCCTCACAAACCTTTTTTTATGGAGGAATAGTCTTCCAATAGGGAAGTTGAGTTTCATATCTGATTCAAATACAAGGCAGGGTTTTTCCCCCTCATATTTAGAAGTACAAGATGGTCCAGCTCAGCTATTAAGGAATGATTATGGAAAGGCCAAGGCACCCCAACATCAACCATAATTTTTCAACAATCAACTCAAGCATGTTTCAATTGATTAGAAGCGAGTACCGGTCACATACAGCCACCTCCTCAATGTAAAACTTATTTATAAATTTCAAGGTTTTATCAGGGAAAAACCAATAAATAAGGTGGAAAGCAAATACTGACATGCAAAGTTTGCATGTCAGCACAACAACTGTGCAAGCTTATGCAAATGAGTTATTATTGTCAGACTAAGTTTTTATCCCACTAACTCGATCTAGCAAAATAAATGCTAGGTTGCATGCAAACACAACAGCCATTCTAGGTTTAACTGACTCAGTAATTTTCACACACAGTTTTTATCCCAATACCTCAATCTGGCCAAACTGAGGCATTAGACTTTTCATCACTAGTTTTCAAGTGACCACATGATCTTAGGGAAAGTACAAAAACAAAACAACAATGGAAATATCAAAAGACAAAAGAAGAATAATTCTTCTCTTTCTCAAGCAACCAGTGCTGTTCTGCTTCCCTTCTCCCATCTACTTCAACAGGACTGACTATTATGGATGTGTTTGTTTGAGGTGTAGGATACCAAAGCACTATAAACATTCAAGTTCAAGATTTAGAACAATGAATAGAACCTGTCAACCATCAATTACGGGCAATTTACACAAGATAGAAAAATAACTTGAACATATCACATGCCTCTTGTCCACTTGCAAGAAATTTGGCTGATACATAAAATCTGTTTTGCTATGATAATTTCTCCATTTCTCCATTGTTATTAGATTGCTCATACAAAGTGTAGTATGCAGTCATGCTCCTAAACAAATGCTATATCAAAGAATAGTGACACATTTACATTCATCCCCACCGCTCTCTCAACACTCATGGAAAGAGACAGAGAGTGGAAATGGATAAAAATAATATTAAGGTGTTTCTACAAGAAAAAAAAAACACCATATCAAGCAAACCACAAAACAAATGATTTTGATTTCGCTCAAAATGATAACTTTTTTTTCTCAGAGGGGTTCCAAATGGATAGGTCCTCCTAGGCCAATAGAACAAGATCTGATAGACAAATACATGGCTAAGGCACGAGTCAAAGTGAATATTCCTATGTGGAGATGATGGAACTACCTCCAAGAGAGAAGTAGACCCACCCCCTTTTAAGTTCATTCTTTTATCTCACTGTTTCAAACAGAGACAAGCAGCAGTACAAACACTTATCAGGAAGAACTAGCTAGGTTCATTTTTACATGAAACAGAATCTTAAAGCAAAAGGATCTAAGAAAATCCTAAACTAGAAAAAAGGTGGCAACTTGGGATAAGGTTTTAACTACTGACAATCTATAAAAAACCGGAACAACATTGTCTAGGATTACCCCTCCAACCAAAAAACACATTTGCTCCACAACACAATCAAAAATTAAAAAACACGAGTAGCCTCAGCCTCCATACAATTAATACTTGATAGTTCCCTTGGTCCATAAATAACAATTAAATTCAAACCACAACTGCCGAGTCTTCCCAAAAAAATAACGAGTTGAATTCAAAACTTCTAGAAAAGAAAAGAAAAGGCAATACATTCAAAATCTAAATTCTAATTCATATTTCTTCAGTGTGAAAAATTCTGTTGCAACACAAAAAAGAAATAAAAGTGATAAAAAACAAAGTCAACCCATTAAGATTTACTATTCCAATTCACAAATTTTGCACAAAATCTAAACCTGACATTTCATCTACAATTAATCAACAAGCCCTAGCAACTAAAACCGCAAAAAACATAAAAACCCATCAGCAGAATAGATCAGACACAAAAATAGAACAACGAGAAGCAGCATGAAATAACAAATCAAATCAAATCAAATCCAAACATCAAGAACCCATTAATCGACAGCCAAAAACAAGGTAGCCTAGATGAAAATATCACAAAATCAACAAATAACCACCAATCTAAGAAGATAAAATACATCACAAATCACAAACTTTAAAATAAAAATAACTAAAAATAGCACAAAAAAACAGAGAGAAACGTACCTGAAGAGGAGGATTAGGAGGGATCGAAACAGGACATTGAGATCGAATATGGTGAAGAGACAAAGCTGATTCGTTAGGGCAATCAGACAACGCTGATGCTGGCAAAACCCCAATATAGAGCAAGAAGAGAGCAGAAAGCAGAGACATTACAAAGGTTGGAAAATGAAAAATAAAACAAAACCAAGGTCCAAATTAAAAACCCGAAAAAGAAAGAGAGAAAGGGAAAAAAATCAGTAAATCTATGCTTTTGATTTCCCAAAAGAAATAAAGAAAGAAGATAAAACAGAGGAAGAAGTGAGCGCTTTGTGTTTCTTAATTAGGATTCGGTTTATAATTGAGGTAAGATGACAAAGTACTTTTTTTTTTTTCTTCTTAGCAATAATAGCAAGTACCACTTATAAACAAGATTATATATAAATAATAGGGAGAGATGGTAGGGTTTAGCTTAGAATTTGAGAAGAGTTGATGTCAGGTTTTTGGGTATCGAGGGGAGGGGGGAGCTTGGGGTAGTATCAAAAATGGTGTTTTTCGGAGGGGGAGATGATTCAATGGAGGGGAGGGTAGCGGGGAGCTTGGGGTAGTATCAAGAATGGTGTTTTTCGGAGGGGGAGATGATTTTGTGCTTATTATAGTAATGTTATCAAGCTCATATTTATTTCTGTGGATGGCAAGGCTTTTTCCAACTCCCTTGCTTTCTTTTTTTAGGTTACTTCCAATTTTAATTTTATTTTTCTTTTATCAAAGAAATAATTTTTGCATTTTTTAATTCACTTTTTGGGTTAGAATCTAGATTTAATTGCCTTTTCATAAATATATAATTCATTTATTAAGTTTTGCGCTCTTTATTATTTTAATCATGATTTATCTCCAAATATTGTATTAATGTGTCGTTTGGACCGGTGAGAATAACATTTCTTAATATATAAATTTTACATTAAGAAAAAATAGTACATTTTCAATGCAATATTAGGGTCAAACAGGGAGCCTATATCAAACCTAACTTGACAACTTCAAGATTCTACGCATATTTATGAATTCAATAAATCCAGTCTCTAAAATAAGCCCTTCACCCTATTTTTAATATATACATACATACATACATACATACATATATGTATGTATGTATGTATGTTTTCTAGTTTTATACCATTGATTATCATTTTTAATTTGATATTTGAGTTACTCCAAAATTTTACCAAAATTTTTTAAACATGTTATTCTACATGGAATTATAATTTTTAAATTAATAAGAGTTTTAAAAAGCATCGCGATATAAATTAAAAAATATAATATAATTTTTGTTATTTATTAACTTTTGATTTGTAAATTCAATATGATATAAAAAATATTTAATAACTAATTTTAGAATTTTTCTAGTTTTATAGAGATTTTTAATTAGCAACAACATAATTTTTAAGTGCATCAATAATTTCTTTAATGTTCTAAAATCTTTTTTATTACAAGAATTCTTAAGCTAATTTTTCCTATTGGAATATTTCTATACTAATAAGCTTAAGTTTTTATTAAACCATTTAATCAAATTAAAAATTTTAACATATTTTTTAGATATTCTATTTTATATTAGATAAAGTTTTAGATTAATATGACAGAATCACTCTTAAACTAATCTAATTAAAAAAAAAAACTAGGAATATCCATGTATTTAAGGTTAAAAAGATAATTTTAAAATTCATCACTCTTTAGCTTCATTACCGCTTTATTTGGTAATGAGATTTGAATTATTTTTTAAAATACTTTTCAACCTATATTTTTATTTTAAAATATATTATATTAATTTTTAAATTTTTTTATAAAAAATTTGAAAAAAAATTATTTTAATATATTTTTAATGAAAAATATTATTTTATAAAAGCACACATTTAATAATTATCAAACATATATCTAGTAAGTAAAAGAATAGAGACGGCAAAGGGAGGAGACACTTATTTTTTTAAAAAAATTAACCAACCTTATTATAAGAGAAGAAGGATTGAGAAAAAACCCATTAATTATTTTAAATTAATAAAACTCATGGTTCACCATTTATCTTATTAGAAAAAACTAAAAAAAAAAATCACACAAAAAATAAATAATAGTAATAGCAGGTGCCATGCGCATGAAGCATTAATAGCCTTAATGCATAAATGTTGACATATAACCAAAATAATAAATAAAGAAAATGAAAGATATCATGAAAGAAGAAAGCAATATTATATATTTATACACACACACACACACACTATCTTCATCATTAACAAAGAAGCTGAAGAATGCCAAGCTCTTGAACTCAAAGCCAGTTTGCACCCTCTTATAATTTTAAAACTCCGTTCTAGTCAATTAAATTAACTCAGAATTTAACTATTTCAAAGTTGAAAATGAATCAAGTTTAAGAAAAAATAAAAAATAAAAAATCTTGGTGTTCTAGTTAAAAACTTGATTGAAATCTGTTGATTATTTTTTAAAATCAAATAATATTATTTTAATTTGTAAAAAAAATTAAAGTTAGGTTGATCAAAGACAGAATGACATAGACTGACCACCGCTCGGGTTTAGGAACTCTGCTCTCAAGGTCCCTTTATCTCTCTCTCTTAGGTTGTTGCAATTTCATGGTTTTTTATGATTCACTATGAGTCTCTCTGTTTGCTTATCTTTGTGCTTTGACTTTGTCTATGTTATGCTCTGCACAAGTTTGTATTTTGGTGCCCTCGTCGAACACAGACATCTTATGAGGACAACATAAAGAAAATCATTGAGTTCAGTTCCGTGAGTTGATCTGTTGTAATAATTTATTCTTTTGAGATGATATATCCTCACGTAAATACATGTTTCTTTTCTTCTTTTTTTCTTTTCTCGATTCATTTGCTGATTGACTGACTGAGCATTACTGTATTCCTGTCGAAGGTTTTTAGGTCTGCAATTGCCACTTGGCTTGACCTTCTCTATTGCCTACTAGCCCTACTGATCTTCATCTTTTCAAGCAAGGAATCCGCCCTCTATGGGAGGTTAACATTGCAATACATTCCTAATGTTATACTGAGCATAAACATAAAAAAACTGCTGACATTCGTTATTTCTCAGGACTCTGCTAACTGCAATGGTGGCGAGTGGATAATGAGATTCAAGAAGATTGTCTCCGGTCGCTTTTGGGACGATCTGGTAAGAGGAATCTGCAAGTACCTCCGCTTTCTTGGTTGAAATTCAAAATGTTTGATGAACATTGTTGGATTGTCATCTCCAAACCCTGCAAGATTTGTTTGACTATAGGAACACGCACAGCACACTGTATGGATACCATTTGTTATTTTCAACTTGTGCTCTCTATATTTCCCTGTTTAGAATCATTTTATCTGGAAAATGAACGTTATGGAACTTGCAGTCATGATTTGCCTGGTTTATCACCAAACCAACTGCAAGTTAATGGCACGTAACATTCCTGAGGTCTTTTAAATCTCTTAGCTGAATTAGATTTTCATATCTTTGGAGTGAGGGAAATGCCTTGGTGGGACTATCATTGACAAACCTAGGATTTTTTTAAGCTATGAAAAGGAAACTTTTAGGTTTTGGGTTCTGTGGTTTAGAACCTGTAACTGCGTTTATACAGCTACCATTCTTTTATATTCTTGCCATAGTATTGCAGGTCATGGATGGTATAACGCACTGACCACTTTTGTAAGAGTGGTGTGAAGCTGATATCCCAGTTATTAGTTGCAAAGCATTGTCTTGCCCTCCCTAGATGGGAAAGAAGTGTTTTGTAGCGTAACGAAGCTTTTCCGCTGGATTTTTTTGTAAATAGTGTTGTGTTCTACTTGCAGATGCTCTTTCAGGTTCTTGCCCTGGTAGGTGATCAACTTGATTACAGTGATGACATATGCGGTGCAGTGCCTCGTGAAAGTTTGGAAATATGGTTGTGGTTATTTTATAAAATATTTTTTTATTTAAAAATATATTAAAATAGTAGTTTTAGTTTTTAAAAAATTATTTTTAATATCAATATATCAAAACAATCTAAAAACATCAAAAAATAATAATTTAAAATTAAAAAATTAAAGTTTTTTAATTATTTTCAAAACTATTTTTGAATCGCGAAAACAATTACAACGCATTATGTCGTTGGTTAGTCATTAATTATTAGTTGCCATTAGTCTGACTGTTGTTTTACTCTTTCGTCTTACTCACGGCTTTGATTCTTGTGTTTTACTATTTCCTCTGTTGCTGAAATCTTAGTATATTAGGGGTTTTTTTTTCCTTCTGTTCTGTACATCCTTTCCTTTTACTTTGTAATTATGAACATTCCGATTAAGTTCTAAAGAAACACTGTGTACACACTTCTGGATTCTTCTCCAGGGAGTGATGGCGTTAAGAGGTGCATTCAAATTCAAAAGTCACTTAAGCTTTGAAGGTCACCTTATATAAATCTTAGTGTTAACTTTAGGACCTGTAATATCAAGTCAGTCAAGATATGCTTAAACTAACCAAGACATCCATGTTAATAAAAAATAAAAAAACACTTGAAGCTTCCCCACAGCTATGTTATGGATGACAAGCCCCATGATGCTTCTCTACGTGACAACTCATCATACAGAAACACGTGGCTGAGAGGGTAGAAATATTGTGACCTACTCAGCTGAGCAAGAAACAGGGTGCAGACTGCAGAGGTCCCTTTTATGCTCTTGCTTCGTATCAGAATTTCTTTCTCTGATAAAGTTCATTCGGTATTACAAACTTAGCAACCAGCGCGGTTGTTGCCTTCATATCCTGTAGGTTAATGTGTTAGACAGTACCAGCTAAATTTGATGTTGGTTTTAATGAATTAGTAGCTTTGCTTCTGGATTTTAGGGTCTGTTGCAAGTACCTTTAATCTGACTGTAAGCTTTCTTTTGGGGCTAATATGTTTTGTTACATCCTCAGTTTTGATCAGTGGTGGATGCTAGGCTTACGTAAAATTTTGCTTCTGCAAAAGGGAGAGGAACGCATAGTTAACCACAAAGCCGTCGTTGCTTTCCTCCCCGGGAGGCATGGATCCCCACGGTCACCAATGACACATTGCTACCAGATGTGTTTGTTTCAATTATCCTTTGTGCTATTTCGGAACACCCAAATCTTGATGCTGGCATCATCTACCACATAACAAAAAAAGAAACACGGAAAAAGCTCCTCGGAGATCATATTGTGTCCAGGGAAAGCTTTCCAAGCCATTATGATATATTGACAAATTGAATATTCGAAGATATTACATAGAGTTTGTTGAGATTACAGCTTCGAACAAGTACATTGGATCACCCTGCAAAACTTACAATGACATCCTTCTTTTCTTTGTTTCTGTCTTTACCGAAAGAACATCTTGCATGAAGAAATCCATCAACTAAGTATCAAAACTAAACAGATGATTTGAGCCCAATAATGCCTGCCAAAATAATGTAACAAATGTCAGGCTTCTGTATATAAGCAAAAGGATTTTAATTGAAAAATAAATAGTATGTGACACTCACTCCATTCCATCTCATGACTATAAGTTCTTGTTCTAAAGCATAAAAAAATTCATAAGAGTAGGGAATATTACCACATCCAACCCTTGCACCTGCATTCCCAGTTGTCTTACTAAGATCATGTCCACCTGCCCATTATTTTGGAATTTGAAAAAAAAATGCTTCAATACAGATAATGAAACAGGCATCTACATGAATTTTTTCTATTCCCAGACAGATAATAAAACAGGCATCTATATGAAAATTGTTTGATTCCCAGATAGGTAAATGATCAAAAGATATGTTGGAGATACAGACTTTCAGTGAACAAACACTGATCAGAAATGTGATTCCAGTTTACAGCATTGCATCCCAACCTCTTCAAGAGTTTTGTTGTTCAATACTCTCCAAATAGTCCCATTCAACAAAGAGGCAACAGATTTCCTGTGTTATAACCACCAAAAATTTAGTAGCTCTTCTACTAAGAAAAGCCAATTTAGTTGATGTTAAACACCAAAAAATCATATACCACGAATCTCTACTCTCTGGGTGCTCAGAAATGTCCCAGTAACTAAAAGCTTCTCCATCCTCCTATCACATGTAGAACATGTGAATAAAAATCTTCTTCCACCATTTGACAAGATGAAATGCCTGTTTTGGGAACACGCATCCAGATTTGCTTTAACTGTGAATTTCAAAATTTTCTTGCAGAAGATCTAGACTATACAGTATGTACAAAAATCTCTCCCCGAGCCCTGGTTAAGTGGGAGCAATAGTGGACGAATCTTTTACATATCACACTTATTCACCTTTTTTTCTACATTCTAAATTCCTTATAAAACAACTTCTTACCACACAATCACAGATATTAGTTTCATTCTGCTCCATGCAAGAATTCTGATGGGAAAAAGGTCAGGCCAAGGAACAACAACAACAACCAAGCCTCAATTTCAAACTAGCTTGGGTTGGAAAGGTCAGGTTAAGATGATCATTCTTCTATAAGAATTTGAGATAAATTTAGCTTAATGCAAATAGCTCTTGGACCATGATGCATATGTTTCATATGTGGAAAGACAGTTGAGGGCACTGACTGTTGATAATTATGTACATGTTAAACCAAACTTCATAGATTATTCATTTGGTGCACACCCTTGCTCATCCTCCAAAACACATAAATGTGAATTCATAAATTTTAAGACAGCTATGAGTAGCATCAGGGAATCACATGTATGTGTTTTGAAGGATGCACGAGCTTCCTAATACAAGAAACTCAGGCAGAGTTGATGCACCAGATAAAATATAAAAGTGAAAGCAAGTTTGAATCAGGGGATATGAGTCAGTCCATATCAGCTTAATAACTTAAGGGCATTCAAGTTGCGGACTAAAGTTAAGCACATATATAAGCATACCAGATAAGAATTTTACAAGGAGCAGCCTGAAACTTACAGAATGATTGGTAGAATGCAGGAGCACATGTAACATAAATTTTTTGACAAACTGATTACAAGTATGAGGGTGATGCTTATAAACAATCAGGCCACCCCATAAATAATTCTACGAGCATAACAAAAATAAAAATTTCATATGTACTTCATAAGAAATATAGCCACTGTTTTTCTAACACGTATCTGGTTTTCTGCGAAGCTAGTGATAGTGTCTGAAGTAACATGCAAATTTTTTGCTGCCAAATCTAGAAGCCTTTACCTTTTCCAAGATCATCAGGATCAGCATGCACAACAACAGCCCTCCCCAATATGGAATGCATCCCACTCAGTGGTATCTAGAAGTTGAAACCAAGAGAGAGAAGTTCAATAATTGAAGCTAGATTCACTGAGTAAAAAACTTTTATGAAACCAAAGATCTGAATAAATCAAAGGCAGCTGTGCAACCCTGCACAAAACCATTAGACTGAGATTCTCACGGCATTTGATAATTCTAAAATTGTCAAGATCACAAGATCATGTAACATGAGCCAAAACCAAAACTAGCATTGAATTATCAGCAAAATTTCAAGTTAATCCAGAGGAACATAGTAATCAAGAGCACAAAACCATTCCAAATCAAAAGAGACTATCACTCGTCCAATCACTATAGGTATCCGTAAATACCTGAAAGTCTTTGATCGAAACTTCTGCAACACCTGCAACATGAAAAAATTAAGCCAAACCAGTCCCTAGTTCTCCAACTTACCAAATTCATATAGGAAAAAAGAAACAGCACATACCATCTGAGCCTGCAATGATGTTCCCCAAATCTCCAGCATGACGTTCGTTGTCACATGGAGCTCCATGGTCCTTCTTTAATGGATTGAAATGAGGTCCTAACATTAAGTAAGATCATTAGTAAATCTATAATCATGAATGAAAACTGCTGCAATCCAAAGAAAAAGCCACTTACACAAAAGATAAGAACATCGTGCACATAAAAATCACAACAAAGCTGCACAGACTTAAATTTCAAAATCAAATTTGAAAAGAAGTGCCAACAGTAACAACAAGAACATAATCTTGCAGTCGACAGAAGATAAGCATCACGAGCCTAAAATCAGCACCTAATGCTCTAATTTTAAAATCCCAGTTCAAATTCAACAAGATAGTAACAAATAGTCATGCATATGAATACCGCAGCCAACCCCGTAAAAAAGAATTGCAAGAAACAGTACATTTTACTCCCTGAAGCGATACAGACACATGTATAAAGAGAGAGTATACCAGTGGAATTGCAGCCATTGGTGGTATCACCAAGTGCATGAATATGAAACCCATGAAGGCCTGGTGATAAGCCAGCTATCCTCCCTGTCACATGTGTTGCCCCTGTATACATACATACATGTTTCACGCAGATACATCAAGAAAAGAACCATGCTTTCTTTCCTTAGCAAGATAGAAAAAGAGAGAGACCGTTTGGTTCTTGAATGAAATGAAGACAGCCTCTAACATTGGAGTCTCCGGTGATGAGAGCCACCGCTTTCACAGACCCTGTTGCCATTTTATCTTTGTTGCTTACCCTTGCTTCTGCACTCTCTCAGGTTTTTAAAATCAAAATATCATCCAAGGCACCTATTATTATTATTAACTTAAAAGCTAAATGCGTGGGGTGAATAATATACAGCCGATACTATTCATACTCTTGACAACGTGGAAGGCACTATTTATTTTTTTTACATTTTATTTTTATTTTTATTTTTACAGTTTTATTTTATACAATCTAGTTTTAATTTAAGACCAGTTATTTCTGTTTTCTTAACAATGGTGGAATTAAAAAAAAAAAGAGTAAAAAAATATCAAATATAAGTCGTATAGCTGAAGTTCCGAGAAATATATATTTTAATTTTCTAACTTTAAAAATAAAATAAATTATATGATTTCAATACTTTAATTCTTTTCAAATTTAATCTTGGCATAAAAATTTATTTTTTTATTTTTGGTTGAGAGAGGAGAGATAAGTAGCTAGATTCTAGTGGAAAAAAAACAATCATTAACAACAATTTAAACCCTTAAAATGGTCAATGTTTGAGTTAAATGATTCCATTTGAAAATAAAAATTTATATTATTTTTAAAGTTAAGGAAAAATAGATCTGAGTTTCATTTGATTTTTGAATTTTAATTGATTTTTCTTTACGCAAAGATTTTTTTTAGGCTATGAATTAGATTTATCATAATTTTTAAGATGTTTTAGATTAAAAAATTAAAAAACAAGTTTTAAGTTAAAAAACATAAACCTTAATTTTCTTGCCACAATAGCAACTATTATCTTTTTTCAAAAAAATTTAGAGCATATGTAACCAAAAAGATATAACAGCTCAAACATGTCGGTCCTAACAAAATAAGTTAGGTGGGTTGGCTTGGCTTGGCTTAGCTTATCAAAACCAACAACACCTGATCTTTATTTTTTTTTAATTATTTTTTAAAATTAATTTTTTATATATTTAAATTTATACCTCTTCTTTCTTTTATTTTTTTAGAGAGTTTCTTTTACATGACAATTATTTGTTTTGTTATACATTTAAATTTAGAAGAGTTTTTCTTATTTATCTATAGTATTTTTTTTTTTATCTTTTGTATAAATGAAATTTTTTTTTGAAAATAAAAAAAAAAAATTTTTGATAATATTTCTAATATGTACAACCTTGCATAGTATTTTTTTTCTCTTTTATTTTATTCATTCAATTTAATTTATGTCTCTATTTCTATTATCTTTTGATTAAATAAAAAAATTATTTTAACAAACATAATTGGATAAATATCTTAATTTGAGAAATTAAATATCTTGATATACATTTATCTCTTAATTTTTTGGTTTTTATTTTTAGTTATCATTTATGGCTTTTTTTCATCTATTAACATATATAGTTCTCAATTTATTTTATTACTTATATTTATAAAATTTTTATTTTCACTTAAAATGTTTTTTAACTACAAAAACATGTTTAAAATCCTATGCTAAAATTTTTTTATTTGAAAAAAAAAACAACTAACCCGCAACAAAATAGGAGTCAAGTATCTAGTTATTACTAGTTTAGGCTGTACTAAAATTTCTTTGAACCTAAGAAGACACATTTAACTGGTTAAAAACTTTTTGAAATGGTTATTAAACTCATATAATAGAACTTGGAAAATCATTGTCTTATTTTTTTAATTAATATTTTATCAATAAGTTAATTTTATAACACATGGTTATGGACTCTACTGTATTAAATTAATTTTTTATTTTATTATATCACAAAAAAAATATCAAGATTAATTTACCATTAACCCAATATTGAATTATAAAATTTAATAAAAACCCCACACTAGATAATGAAGTTAGCAACAAAA